TGTTCTTTTCAGAGTGACACTCCCCAAAATATCTCACTCCCCTAACTTTTACAGACAACTCTGAGAAAGCCCTCAGGGGATGCTTATTTGCAATGCACATGGCACAGGCTAATTGGCATCTTAGGTAATAGTCTTCACAAGAAATCCAGGGTGTGTCCTGAGGGTGGGAGTCCCTTAAGCCATCTATTTGGGATCATCAGTTTGCTGTAGATGCCGTCATAAGGTCCTCTGTGCTAAGGAGATGTTTCATATCTCACAGGTGGTGCTCTTCCCTCATAATGGCTTATGCCAGTCCAAATGTGTTCTCTCTCTAACTCCTTTGATTACTATTGAGGTTACATTTATGCAGTCAAGAAGAGCTTCCTGAATGCAATAGCCAGATTTGTATTTTGTTAAGTAGGGAAGGAGGTATAAAGTTGGGAAGAGCATGCTATAGTATCTGAAACAGTAGAAAAATCCAAAAACATGTTTTCTTTTGACTCTGAATGCGTTGATGAGTAAGCTGTTTTTGCTGCTGTTGCTTCTTCTTAAATATTTATTTATTTGAAAGGTAGAGTTACAGGGAGAGAGAAGAAGTGGGGGCGAGGGGGAAAGAGAGAGAATCTTCCATTTGCTAGTTCATTCCCCAAATGGCCACAGTGGCCAGGTCTGGGCCAGGCTGAAGCCAGGAGCCAGAACTTCATCCGTGTCTTCCATGTGGGTGCAGGGGCCCGGGACTCGGCAGCATCTTCTGCTGCTTTCCCAGGCACATCAGCAGGGGGCTGGATTGGAATTGGAGTGACTGGAATTCAAACCTATGCCCATACGGGATGCTAGCACTTCAGGCAGTAGCTTAACTTGCTGTGCCATAGCACCGGCCCCTGTTTTACCTTCTTAATCAGATAACATTAATGACATTCCTATTGCCAAAGCTCTCATATTGGGTTGGAGAGGTGGATCAAATATTTATATTAAGAGCCAGAGGAAACATCTTCATAATTCAAAGGCCCAACTATCAGAAATTAAAGAAGTTCAGATACTTAATCTCTTAATGATATGCTGATGGAGCTCAAAATCTGAGCATAGACTATGAGTATTATAGAATCACATGTATTGTTGCTCCTGGTAATGTCCTGTCATCTGGAGTAATTATTGCAACTATGATTACTTTATTGGGGAAAATATTCTCTGAGTCATTCTACCAGTAAGTGCAGATTTTTAGGTTTAGAGAAGGAAGTCTGGGTGAGAGTCTCAGGAAAGACTATAAAGAGAGACTATAAAAGATCTATAGCCAATGTGTAGGTCATTGTGGACTATCCTGCCCTCTCCTTTTCACTTTATACTTGTGCTGCCCACAAGTCTCTGCAGAAAAAATTCCAGGTAAGATAATGTTGGATGGAGCTCAAGACATTCAGGAAACCTTTATTAGAAATTAGCATATTGTCAGCTTAGCCCTAAGTCTGCAGGTAGTATTTGCAGTCAATGAAGAAAGCTTCCTGAGACAGTGGAAAAAAATATCATGTGATAGACACAAATTAGAATAGGGAATTACTAGGAGAGTTGCCTGAGACAGGAAGAGAGACATGAGTCTGATTATGAAAATCTTGCACTGTGGTGATTTATCAAGAAATATGGACACTAATGAGGAAAGAGATGTATATGGGATATTTAAGTAAAAGAAGAGTGTATGGATTTGCTGACTGGATTGGAGTGATCAGGAGTATGGGGGAGGTTGGGTTCTTAGTCCATAGATGCTTTATCATGAAATAATAGTATGAGGTGACAGCCAGAAAGATGAGACCCTTGGCTGTTTTAATTGGCATCAATAATAAATGACCAATATAGTAACTTATTTATTTGCCTGTTGGTCCAGTTTTATGAGGATCTTGAAGATACAGGGTGATCACCTCAACTGTCTGTAAGTGGAATCATTGTTTTGTCATCCAGTGGAAGAATTTCTCCCTTTGGAAATAAGATCTCTAAACCATTGGAGCCTAAAACTGCAGGGACAGGAAGCCAAAATGTTGCTGGTGTATCATAGTTATTAGAAGTTATTGTGAGAGTACTCATTCCCATTTTTAGCCATGAAATACTCATTCTATGAGTCCTGGTCATGGGAGAAACAGCATCACAGATTGGATTCATTCAGAGCATATCCTCGGGGATACACCCCTTGCACTAAAAGAGAATTTCAACTAGCTGTTGTTTAACTTTGAGTCTTTAAAAAGCCATTCCTCTGTTCTATCAGACCAGTTTTTTCAGTATGAGAGTCATATAACAAGAATTTCATTATCATGATCTTATATACATACTTCATTTTCTGTGAAATGGTTCCTTGGTCAGGAATAAATCTTCATGGAACACTATTATGGTGAATAAAGCATTCTATGAGTCCATAGGTGGTAGGTTTGGCAGAAGCACTCCTGGCAAAGAAAGCAAAACCATATCCAGTGTTTATCACAGGAAGAACAAAGCCCCGTCCATTCCCTGTTGAAAGTGATTCAGGGCCGGCGCCGCAGCTCACTAGGCTAATCCTCTGCCTTGCGGTGCTGGCACACCGGGTTCTAGTCCCGGTCGGGGCGCTGGATTCTGTCCCAGTTGCCCCTCTTCCAGGCCAGCTCTCTGCTGTGGCCAGGGAGTGCAGTGGAGGATGGCCCAAGTGCTTGGGCCCTGCACCCCATGGGAGACCAGGATAAGTACCTGGCTCCTGCCATCGGATCAGCGCGGTGTGCCGGCCGCAGCACGCCGGCCGCGGCGGCCATTGGAGGGTGAACCAATGGCAAAGGAAGACCTTTCTCTCTGTCTCTCTCACTGTCTACTCTGCCTGTCAAAAAAAAAAAAAAAAAAAAGTGATTCAGTATAATCAGCCTGTTACCCAAGTAGCTGACTGATAATCCTGGGTGATACTGGGGACTCATGTTGGTTTTGGCTTTGGGCAGATTGGGCTGTCATCAGTGGCTGCAACCAGGTTGGCTCTATTGAGTAATCAAGTCCGTGTTGCTGACCCCACATAATCTTTATCCCTGCCCTCATGTCTGCTTTGTTTATGGGCCCATTGGGCAATGACAGTGTAACTGAGGAAAAGGAAGCTGACATTCAAAAGTGGGGTAGCACTTTGATAGTGGTAATAGTATTTCTTGTTTTTATGTGATAATTTTGCATATATATTAACTGAATATTTGCCCAATATCCTACAATATAAAAAAGAGAGTATGAATCAGGAGAAAAATGATTATCACTCCAACACACAAGGAACTTTGTATTTTCTTGTGGGAAAGGGTTAACATGTGTTTTCCTTTTTAAAATTTTATTTATTTTTTGACAGGCTGAGTTAGACACACACAGAGAGACAGAGAGAAAGGTCTTCGTTTTTCCATTGGTTCACCCCCCAAGTGGCCGCTACGGTGGCGTGTTGTGACTGGCACGCTGCACCGATCCGAAGCCAGGAGCCAGGTGCTTCCTCCTGGTTTCCCATGCGGGTGCAGGGCCCAAGGATCTGGGCCATCCTCCACTGCACTCCTGGGCCACAGCAGAGAGCTGGACTGGAAGAGGAGCAACCGGGACAGAACCTGGGGTGCTGGTGCCGCAGGCGGAGGATTAGCCTAGTGAGCTGCAGCGCCGGCCAACATGTGTTTTCATGTATTCCTAATGACTGTATCATGTTCAGCAGATGATTGTGGTACTTTTTTGTAGATTAAGCATGACTTAAGGAGATGCATATGTGTGCTAATTTGACAGAAGATGGACTCTGGTAGCTTTGTGATATATCAAGTTGACTAGGATAAATAACATTTTCTAGATTCTCTGGTTAAGGTAGATCATAGAAGTGTTTCTTGGGAGATTTACATGGGAGAAGCGGGACAGCCAATGTGTAATTGACATTCATTACTGATAATCTTACTTATAGCATTGAAATGAAGCACTAGCTGGGCTCATACCCACTCTGTCTTCCTTCTGGGTTCTTCTTTAGCTTCTCTGACTTCCCTGTCTGGCTCCTTTAAGAAGCATCCTATCTTCTGCAAGATACCCACACGACAAATTCTAGATGCAGAAATAACTGATATGGGGTTTAATGTGCTCTTGTGTGGTTACAGCTCATGTTTGTGGATTCCAGCCTGCTCTTGATCTGCCACTCTTTTTTTTTTTTTAAAGATTTATTTCTTTGAGAGGCAAAGTTGCAGAGAGAGAGAGAGAGAGAGAGAGAGAGAGAGAGAGAAACTGAGTGATCTTTCATCTGCTGGTTCACTCCTCAAATGGCTGCAATGGCCAGGGCTGGGCCAGGCCAAAGCCAGCAGCCAGAAGCTTAATCCAGTTCTCCCACATGGGTGCAGGGGCCCAAGCACTTGGGTCATTTTCTGTTTTCTCAGGCCATCAGCAAGGGGCAGGATCAGAGGTGGAGGATCTGGGATTCAAACTGGCACCCATATGGGATGCCAGTGCCTCAGACAGAGGCTTAACCTACTATGCCAGAGCACTGGCTCCTTGCATAGACTTTTTTTTTAAAAGAATTATTTTATGGGGCTGGTGCTGTGGTATAGCAGGTAAAACCACCATCTGTAGTGCTGGCATACCATATGGGTGCCAGTGCATGTCTCGGCTGCTCCACTTCCACTCCAGCTCTCTGCTGTGGCCTGGGAAAGCAGTGGAAGATGGCCCAAGTCCTTGGGCCCCTGTACCCACATGGGAGACCCAGAAGAAGCTCCTGGCTCCTGGCTTCAGATCGGCTCAGCTCTGGCCATTGTGGCCAATTGGAGAGTGAACCAGCAGATGAAAGACCTCTTTCTCTCTCTGCCTCTCCTCCTCTCTCCATGTGACTCTGACTTTCAAGTAAAAAAAGAATTATTTTATTTATTTGAAAATCAGAGTTACACAGAGAAGGAGAGGCAGAGAGAAGGAGAGGTCCTCCATTTCGCTGGTTCACTCCCCAAAATGACCTCAATGGCCAGAGCTGAGCTGATCAGAAGCCAGCAGCCAGGAACTTCTTCCAGGTCTCCCACGTGGGTGCAGGGGCCCAAGGAGTTGGGCCATCTTCTATTGCTTTCCCAGGCCATAGCAGAGAGCTGGATCGGAAGAAGAGCAGCCAGGACTTGAAATGGCACCCATATGGGTTGCCGGTGCTGCAGGCTGGGACTTTAACCCGCTGCACCACTCACCAGCCCTTTGCATAGACTTTTAAATCAGTTTGGGCAATTGTGTAAGGCCAGCATTCTGTCACAAAGTCCATTACATGTGTTTGTGTTTATAGAAATTTCTTAGTGGTTCAGCTTCTCTGGTTAAACTCAGGCTGATACCATAAGCAAGCAAATAAATAATCCCTTTAAGATCTAAATATAGATATCTATGCTGATCTCTTTCTGTCTGTATATCTCTATTACTGTCTAAATCAATTCTCTTAATGAGAAAAGGCTTTTCTTGAAGTTGTCAGTTAATGGGGTCTAGATATTTTGGAATTTCAGCGTGAGAATGTTTATGAATACAGCTTCTAACTTATCTATTTAAAAACTCACTTCAATTATTGGACCTGTTGAATAATTAGAAATAGAAATCTCTTCAAGCATTCTTCAATCAAAAGGTGATTTTCTTCAGGTATGCTGGATCCTAGTATTTCTGGTATCACACTTCATCTCCACTCCCTGTTTCCCCAGGGTTTGTGAAAGGGGACATGTGGCAGAGGAATCAGACCTCCCTGGCAGACTTCATCCTTGAAGGGCTCTTTGATGACTCCCTCACCCACTTTTTTCTTTTCTCCTTGACCATGGTGGTCTTCTTCATTGCAGTGAGTGGCAACACCCTAACCATTCTCCTCATCTGTGTGGATCCCCGGCTTCATACACCAATGTACTTCCTGCTCAGACAGCTCTCCCTCATGGACTTGATGCATGTTTCCACAACCATCCCCAAGATGGCTGCCAACTACCTATCTGGCAAGAAGTCCATCTCCTTTGTGGGCTGTGCAATCCAGCACTTCCTCTATTTGTCTCTAGGTGGTGCTGAATGTCTTCTCCTAGCTCTCATGTCCTATGACCGCTATGTTGCCATCTGTCACCCCCTACGTTATTCTGTGCTCATGAACAGAATGGTGGGACTGATGATGGCTGGCATATCATGGCTGGGGGCAAGCATAAACTCCCTAATCCACACAATGATTTTGATGTACTCCCCTTTCTGTGGGCCTCGGAAGATCCACCACTTCTACTGTGAGTTTCCAGCTGTTGTGAAGTTGGTCTGTGGTGACATCACTGTTTATGAGACCACAGTGTATATCAGCACCGTCCTGCTTCTCCTCCTCCCCATCATCCTGGTTTCCACATCTTACATCTTCATCCTCCACAGTGTCATTCAGATGCGTTCAGCTGGAAGTAAGAGAAATGCCTTTGCCACTTGTAGCTCTCACTTCACCGTGGTTTCCCTGTGGTTTGGGGCCTGCATCTTTTCATACATGAGGCCCAGATCCCAGCGCACTCCACTGCAAGACAAAGTTGGATCTGTCTTCAGTAGTATCATCACTCCCACGCTGAATCCTCTGATTTATACTCTTCGGAATAAGGATGTAGCCAAGGCTCTGAGGAGAGTACTGAGGAGAGATGTTCCCACCCTCTAATTGTAATTGTAGTTGCCTTGAGTGCAGAGTGAATGGGATAAGCTCCATATGTTGATCTGGGTGAACCTCTAAGATTTTTCCTTGTGCTCTTTAACTACTGTGGGAATGGCACAGGACTCCACTATTCTAACTTGATATCATGCTTTCTAGCCCTGTGGAATACCTTTAGTAATGCTTTAGAGATGTAGGGAAAAATAAAAGAAACATTTTAAATTAAGACATATAGGGGCCACACTGTGGCATGGCAGGTAAAGCCGTTGCCTGCAATGCCAGCATCCCGTATGAGTACTGGTTCGAGTCCCAGCTGCTCCTCTTCTGATCCAGCTCTCAGCTATGGCCTGGGAAAGCAGTGGAAGATGGCCTAAGTCCTTGGGCCCCTGCACCCGCGTGGGAGACCAAGAAGAAGCTCCTGGCTTCAGATTGGCTCACCTCTGGCTGTTGTGGCCATTTGGGGAGTGAATCAGCGAATGGAAGGCATTCTCTCTCTGTCTCTCTCTCTCTCCTCTCCTCTCTTTCTCTCTGCCTTTCAAATAAATAAATCAATCTTAAAAAAAAAAGACAGTAAAGGCCAGTTCTTCTTCAAAAAGATAAGAGAAAGACATAAGAACTATTTCCCATTATTATTTCAACAAAATTATATGAAGTATACCACTAGGGATGGGTGTTTGACTCAGTGTTTAGATTTCTGGTTGGGATTCCTGCATAACATATTGCAATATCTGGGTTCCATTCCTAGTTTCTGTTCCCAGCTCCCTGCCAATACAGACTCTGAGAGACAGCAGCTTATGCCTCAAGTACATGGGTCTCTGCCACCTATGTGGAAGCCTTGGCTTGAGTTTCTGGCTCCTGGCTCTTTACTGACCTTGTCCTGATCATTTGGACATTTGGGGAGTGACAAATGAATGGGAGATGTGTCTGTCTTTCTGTCTCAAATTATAAAAAAAAAAAAACAAAAACCAAAACCTAGCACCAGAGTATTTCTAGAGCATAAATTTGGAGTGTGTTGCTTGATTTTCTAAGCATGGGAAGTAAGGGGTGTTTGAAGACTGCTTTGAAAGGAGGTATGGATGATACAAAGTTATATTTACATGAACCTTTACTATTCATTAAGACACAGAATTCAGAAGGGAAGGAATAATACATTTTGCATACATCCATAATTTTTACTCTTGTGAAATTTAGCATTCTTAAAGCATATACTTGGGATTTCTTTGGTCTTTGTTGGACCTGTCATATGAGATATGGATGTGAACTTTGAGTATATCACATTATGAAAATTATTTTCTACTTTTTTAGTGTTTCTAGCTTTGTGATTAAAAACCAGGATTTACATTAGAATCTCTCAGTTGCCAACCATGTGACCCATGGTGAATTACTTCACCTCTCCAGGCCTCAGTAATCTCATATGTTTAATGAGAAATGTAGGGTTATCAGCAATTCTGTGTTCATTGTGGAAGTTGGTTCTGAGCAACAGAATCAGATTCTGAGCGACATTACCAGAAAGTAATTTTATTGAATGGATTCAGGAAGATTTCAGAATCAGTTGGAACTCTAAAGAGCAGGACTTGGAGACCATGGTTCCCGTATATACTTCCTGCCAAATTGTCCTACAGAACAGGTCCAAGCAGAAGCCAAAAGAATTTATCTGGCAGGGATAAGGTCATTTGGGTTAACATTATGAAGAAAGGCTAACACAATCTATCATAACTAGTTTGTAAGGATCTCCCAATCTTTCCCACTTGTGCACTGAATCCTAAGGATCTTATTCTTGAAATTATTCCTTCTCTACCATGACTCATCAGTTTCTCCACGCATGATAAATCCCATCAGCCTACAGACATCATTTTATAGCTCTCAACTGAAAATGGAATCTTCCCTCAGCCTTTTGAAGTTTGAACAGTTTTTTTAATAGAAAACTTTTATTTAATAAATATAATTTTTGAAAAATACAACTTTTGGATTATAGTGTTTCTTCCCCCATAACCACTCTCGCACCTGCAAACCATCACATCTCCTACTCCCTCTCCCATCCCATTCTTCATTAAGATTCATTTTTAATTATCTTTATATACCGGAGGTCAACTCTATACTAATATTTCAGCAGTTGTACTCACACAGACACACAAAGTATAAAGTACTGTTTGAAGACTATTTTTACCATTAATTCTCACAGTACAACACATTAACGACAGAGGTTCTACATGGGGAGCAAGTGCACAGTGACTCCTATTGTTGATTTAACAATTGACACTCTTATTTTTTATGTCAGTGATCACCCGAGGCTCTTGTCATGAGCTCATATCCCATAATTTCTTTAGCCAGTCATCTTTTGATGGCATTTAGGTTGATTCCATGTCTTTGCTATTGTGAATTGAGATGCAATAAACATTGAGGTGCAGACAGCTCTTTTATTTGCCAATTTAATAATCCTTGGGTAAATGCCAAGCAGTGGGATGGCTGGGTCGTGTGGTAGGGCTATATTCAAATTTATGAGTTATCTCTAAACTGTCTTCCATAGTGGCTTTACTAGTTTGCATTCCCACCAACAGTGGGTTAATATGCCATTTTTCCTACATCCTCTCCAGCATCTGTTGTTAGTTGATTTCTGTATGTGAGCCATTCTATACGGGGTGAGGTGAAACCTCATTGTGGTTTTGATTTGCATTTCCCTTATGGCTAGTGATCCTGAACATCTTTTCATGTGTCTGTTGGCCATTTGGATTTCCTCTTTTGTAAACTGTCTATTTAGGTTCTTGGTCCATCTCTTAAGTGGGTTGTTTGTTTTGTTGTTGTGAAGTTTCTTGATCTCTTTGTATATTCTGGTTATTAATCCTATATCAGTTGCATAATTTGCAAATATTTTTTCCCATTCTGTCAGTTGCCTCTTCACTTTCCTGTTTCTTTTACAGTCCAGAAACTTCTCAATTTGATGCAATCCCAGTTGTTAATTTTGGCTTTGGCTGTCTGTGCCTCTGGGGTCTTTTCCAAGAAGTCTTTGCCTGTGCCTATATATTGCAGGGTTTCTCTGATGTTTCTAATAATTGATTGTGTTGGGTCATAGATTTAGATCTTTAATCCATTGCTGCTCGTCACGGGGCAGCAGGTCCGATAGAGCTCCTCAGGGCCAGCCTGGGGAGCTCAGGGGCCGAGTGGGACGATGAGTATTGGCAGCAAAGGAACCACACCAGAGCTGGGAGATCAGTCAATGCCCGGGGCGCAGCTGGGTTCTTGACTTTATTGGGAGGGGAAGAGCTTTTATAGACACAGAAACGGGGCTGTCCAGGGCACAAGGGAACCGAGCCAACCAGCTGATAGGTAAGGCAGGACACGAGCCGGGCACACCCTCAAGGGCCTATCACAGCCGAGGACACATACTGTTCATGAATACGAAAGTCTCCTGTCAGGCTAGGTACCTCCCCCAGGGGCGATCCTGGATTGTTGGAAACGCTGAGTCACTGGGATGCAGAAGTGCAGCAAACTCGAGCAAAGGCTTAGCAGCCTTGTTGAGCGAAGGCTTAGCAACTTTGTTTCCTTTTCGATTGGAGCCCCCTACATCTCCCCCTTTTATTTTGAGGATAACTGTGCCTGTCTTAGGTTGTCCCCCTGTCAGGAATCGGAAGTTGCCCGTCATCAGAGAAGCCAGGGTCGAGAGCCTGACCCTCCTGTCTTAGGTTGACCATTCCTGGAGGATCTTACCCGTCATTGGCCACCAGTCCATTATTTAGGAGATGAGGGGGTGAGCGGAGAGGTTTGGCTAGTAACCCAGGGGGGTATCCTGTTGACTAACAAGGGTCTGGTACCTAACTCCCACTGGTTGACATGGATTGAATGAAGCTGTTTTCTAACAAAGGAACCTAAGGCATTAACCACACAGGGACCTATGAGCAGAAGTGCAGTTATGGCAGTGATTGGACCAAACAACGGCAGGAGGTAGGGCAGCCACCCTCCCCACATCCTTCCCCAGCCATTATAAGAGTCCATTAGGCGTTGCTAGCGAATTTCAAGGCTGTCTTGGAGTTGTTTAATTGGATCCTGGATGACTCCAGATTGGTTAACAAAAAAGCAGCACTCCTCCTTGAGGAAGACACAAAGGCCTCCCTCCTTTACCGTTAGTGAATCCAGTCCTCTTCTATTTTGAAGGACTACTGAGGCCAGGGAGGAGATCTGTTCCTGTAAGACTCTAAGCAATTGCGTTACTTCTCGCAGGTCCCCGACAACCTGAGAATGTAATCGGTTGTTGAGATAAAAAGCGGAGGAGATCCCAGCTACACTGATACCCACCCCAGTGGAAACACCCAACCCTACAAGCAAGGGGATAAGGGCCGGTGCCCGGGCTATCCGGGCTCTTCCGGTGAGGGGAATCAGAAGGGGCTCAGTAGCCAAGGCAATTTCAACCTGTGGAAGCAACAAGACAGGGGAGCAGGTTTGATCACCTCTCATGGTCAGGTTAATAGATGCTGGCATAGGAAGGAAGCATTTCCGGGTGCGCAATAAGACTGATTAGGCAGTAGAGTTGTATTATCTATCTTTGAGATGTTTGTTGACGTGCCCCCTGCCCAAGGGACAGGGGATTTGTCAGGGGGGCATGGGACAAGAGAGCTAGCATGTAGCTCCATGCCAACGAGTATAATAGGGGGTCTCCTTTGGTGAGGTACACATAGCCAACAGCCTTGCTGGACAGGTAACGTGGAGGTGTTAAGCAGCTGGTATGTAAGGCTAAGTGTCTCTAGTAAGGTCAAAAGGTTATTGACTGATATGGGCTATTTTCCTTTTCCATGTTACTGATTGACTGGGATGTATTTTTCGCTTGTTGAAGCACTTCCTCGATGGGGGAGGAAGTAGGAGCGGGGATCCATACCTTTATTATTCTAATGAGGCCGTATGGGTCTCTTCCTTTCCTGTCCACTTGAATTCCTGCATCCTCTCCTGAGAGCCACTTAGGATCATCAGAATTTCTTATCTTATACTTTACTGGGTTGCAAGCTCATCTTTTACAGGAGCTCCCCTTTGGGCGGAGTAGCTCCAAAGGAGTCTTAAGCGACCCTGTGTGTGAATGTGGGCAGTTCCAGTAGGGGCAATACCCTTCCTGGCTATTCACACAGTTTCCCTTTTGTAGTGTTTTGCAGCATATGTATTTATGGTTAGTTGCATAAGTTTTTTCCCAATCTGCACAGGACTCCCACCCAGTGGTGGGTTGGCAAGCATCAAAGTAAAGCTCAACTTCCTTTGAGGTACATTTGGAAGTGTTGAGGACTACTGGAGGATCGAACCCGATAGCCAAGACCCGAAATTCCCGGTGTCCCCCGCCGGATGACGTCTCACCAGGGGACAGTTCCAATAGCAGGGCTGGGAGGACCGCCCCTGCAACAGGTAGCCACAGGTGTCTCATCATTCCTGTGAAAGAGAGAGAGACAAGGCCTCAAGAGGGTTGGGCTCTTGGGTTAAGGTCATTAAGGTCAGTGGGGGGAAGGTGTTTTGAGGTCTCTGGCCGGGACCCAGATGGGCTTGTCTTCATTTTGGAGGAAGACGCATCCAAAGCCTCTGCGTGCCGTTAGGAGGGGATCAGGGCCACTCCAGGCCCCCATGAGGGAGTCTCTCCATCGGACCTTAACAGTAGAGTACTTAAGAGTAGTTGTCCAGTGTCACTGCAAAGGAGTGAGGTTGTCAGTTTTTGAAAAATTTAAAATATTTAAAGTGCATAATGCCATCTTTAGCTGGTCATGAGGGGGTGCTGCTCCCCCTTTTTGTTTTAAAAGTTGGGCCTTTAATGTTTTGTTTTGTCTTTCAATGATTGCCTGGCCCAAAGGGTTATAGGGGATAACCAGTGACATGTTTAATTTCCCAATGCTTTAGAAAGGTAGCAAATGAGGCGCTGGTGAAACAAGGTCCATTATCAGTTTTAATTTGTTTAGGACTGTAAAGCATTGTGATAAATGATTGTTAGTGTGTTTAGCCTTTTCAC